ATGGGAGTCTTAAATATAAACCAAGTAATCTTCCTGGTATTTATGTGCACATTTTCAGAACAGTTGCTGGAAAGGCTGTTATCTTAGAGTCATAGATGCTGAAGCTAGATGAAATCATTAACTGAAATAGTTGGAATCTGAAGAGGACCCTCCACCCCCACACATTACTCAGAGGTTATGAGAAAAGCTCTGAAGGCCAGGTGAAAAATGGATGGGACTGTGCTCAGCAGCAGGAAACTGAAGCTTCACAACTGCCTTGATTATGAAAGAAGATTAAAGGAGCTGCAATAAGTTTATTAAGTGGATAGCAGGATGGAAGAGGGCTCTGATTCTCCAATCCAGGCATGAGATGCACAGAGTTGTTTGTGGTCCCTAAATTACAGTGTAGGGTGGCAGGTGTCTGGCTTTTTATTAGGCTTCAGAGTATTGCAAGTCACCATGTGGGGCTGGGAAGATAATTTCTCCCATCTTGTTGCTATGGGTGTTGGTTTTTTTGTTGTGTTTTGTTTTTTGATTTTTTTTTTGCCTTTGTCAGAAGTACTGAGCGGTAGTTGAAGCTACAGCTGGGGATTTTGACAAGATATGCGAATAGTACTGTTGGGATGTAAAAAAAACCCCAAAGGTTCCTGATTAGAGTGCCTTGTTCCTCTACTCAGCATCAAACCAGTCACTATATTTGGGATTGGAAGGAATTTTACCCCACGGTCATTGGTATGGACCATGGGAGGTTCTGCCTTCCTCTTAGTACAAGTACCAGGCACAATGCCTGAAACATCAAAAACTACTCTCACTTGCCACAGTTAAAGCAGGGGGACAAAAGTACTGTTGATGTCCTGCCATTGCAAGGGCTAGGATTTTAGAGTCAAGAGATCCAAAGTAGAGGACCGTGCACCCAGCTACAAAAGAAGGCAGAAACTCCCGCAGTCTGTGCTGGTATCCCAGATGTTGTGACTGGGCTGATGGTGAGTAAAGGATCAGTCATTTGAGATTCTAAAATACCTCAACAAAAGCTCTTCTTTGACCCCCTCCCTTCTTCCCCCACCTTGATACAGCTTTATGTTGTTATGATTCCCATTTTACAAGCAGATAAAATGAAAGCAGTCATCTTGTCCAACCAATATAGCAAGTTAGCAAAAAGAGCTGGGCTGTCTTGGTGTCTGCTGTAACTACTCCTCTGGCTCTGATTATTATAGTAGATTATTAAGTCTCACAACCTTCAATCTATGCATGCTGCCATAGGAAAAAGCTCATATCTCTGTTTTCCAGTTGGAGAACTGAGGCATGGACCAGGATCCAAACCGGGATCCAGATTTACAAAGGTACTTGGGCACCTGGTCTGCATTATGGAAGTCAGATCACTGAATTAGGTACCTGAGAACAGGATGTCCAAACTAGCCCACAGACAATGCTAAAGACGGGGGTCCATTTTTAATCCTGCCTCTTTCTGGGACTTAGGTGCCCTACTTTGGTCCCAGCCCAGCTTTTGCAGGCTGGAACTACTTCTCCCGAAGGCAGGCACTTTATGGCCTTTCTGTCAAAAAGCACAAAAGGGGGGTCAATTCTTTCTTGTGGGGCACTGCAGGGGGTGCTGGTTGTGTTAATTCTGCTTCCCTTTTTCCAGTAGTTCACTGTGAGTTGGGTTCAAGTTCATGCTTCTGCTCAAGGGAGATCCTAGCCCCTGTCTCCTAGGAGAGGCTGTTAACTTAGGGCATAAGCACTCTCAGTTGCTGAAGTTGTGCCACTTTACATAATTAAAGATTAATTGGGGCAATGAAAGAGGGTGAAAGTACCACCATAGTCTTGTGGTTAGGGGACCCCCCCCCCGGGAACAGACACTCATCATTTCCAGTCCCTGTTTAAGGACTGCTAATGCATTTTAACTGATGATTCTTTAATATAAACCATTCTTGAAGCAGAAAATTGCACCCAGATCTTGCTGGGGAATACCCTAACTGATAGACTAGAGTCATACCCCTGCTCTCTCTGACTTCCAGAGTCCCTTCCTGAGGCTAGATTCTACAAAGAAAGGGGTGTTGGTTTTTACATTGGTTGGCAAATTGCATAATCTGAGATTAATTTAGATTGTATTAATCAAATGGAAAGCCCAGGGAAAACTAGAAAATGTGGAAGTACCCAATTAAATCAGAATGATAGGATACCTGCAACTTTACATATTTATTTGTGTGTGTGTACATGTGAAAATATAATACACACACATAACATAATTAACATACCATAAAATATATATTTGTTGGATTTGAGCCTATTAATTTCAAAGTTGAGCAAAATAGCATATGATGGGTCGGGTAATTAGTTTCTGTATGTAGATATGCAGTATGGCTATCCATGGCCGTTTTAACTGAGGCTTTGGTACCTTACTCTGTTCCTACAGGTGGCATCTCCTTCCACCCAGCTTTTGCAAGCTGGAACCACCTCTCCTGAAGGCAGGCACTTACCACCTTTCTTTCAAAAAGTATAACGAGTCAATGCTTTCTTGTAGGACACTGCAAAGAGTGCTAGTGGTGCTGGTCCTTCTCCCCTTTCTGAGGAGGAAAGGGTTCACATTTGAATAGTAGCCTGAAGATTAAGAGACAAACTCAGTATTGTTTAAACATTGCAGCTATAAATATTACTTCCGTGAGGGATGTGGAGTAACTTGTTCTCAATCTTTTAACTAACTAGCTGCATTTTCAGCCACCAGACTTGATTTGCCTCCAACTGCCAACTGTGCCAAGTGACACAGTGACTAGCTAACCGCAGGGGGTCTGCAACTTGTTAGGCTGGAAATTGCCAGCTCTGTTTTCAGTTGTGTTTCTTTTTTGTGAGTATAGAAAAATACTAGAGCAAGCCTGTTGCAAAGAAACCTGAAAGACTGGAGGCTGGGCATGACTGGCTAAGCAGCAGCTCTACAGAAAAAAGGACCTGGGGGTTACAGTAGACAATAAACTGACTATAAGTCAACAGTGTGCCCTTGTTGCCAAAAAGGCTAATGGCATACTGGGCTGCACTGGTAGGTTTGTTGCCAGTAAATTGAGGGAAGCAATTATTCCCCCCTATTTGGCACTGGTGAGGCCACATCTGGAGTACTGTGTTCAGTTTTGGGCCCCCCGCTATAGGAAGGATGTGGACAAATTGGAGAGAGTCCAGTGGAGGGCAATGAAAATGACTAGGGGGCTGGGGCACATGATTTATGAGAAGAGGCTGAGGGAACTGGGCAAGAGAAGACTGGGATGGGATATAGCAGCCTTCAACTATCTGAAGGGTGGCTTCAGAGAGGATGGAGCTAGACTGTTCTTGGTGGTGGCAGATGACAGAACAAGCAGCAATAGGCTCAAGCTGCAGCAAGGGAAGTTTAAGCTAGATATTAGGAAGAACTTTCTTGCTAGGAGGGTGGTGAAGCACTAGGCCAGGCAACCCAGAGAGGCGGTGGAATCGCCATCCTCAGAGATTTTTAAGTCATGACTAAACCTCCTACTCCCCTGGCTGCAATGATGTAGCCAGGGTTGGTCCTGCTCTGAGCAGGGGGCTGGAATAGGTGCCCTCCCAAGGGCCCTTCTAGTCCTCATGCCCTAGAAGTCTGTGAAGGGTCCCAGCAGGGCTCAATGCTTGAACCCTAAGGGTTCCTATTGGAAATCTCTGGGTTTCTCTTCTCTTGTGAATCAGGCTTGCACAGGGCTCACCCGGTGGTGGGGCACCCTGCACCACAACACCCTTGAAAGGATCCCAGGGCCCCCTGCCAGGGTGCTGCGGGGCCCTTGTGGAGCACCCCAACTTCACACCTCGAGGGCCTTTCAGACACAGGGCAACGACTCCTGCGGCACCACAGCTGCTGGGGGGCTGGGCTGACCGGGCCCTGCTCTGTCTGCTTGGACTGCCAAGAGGGAGCAGCAAGACACGGCTGCTGCCCTGAGGCGCAGGGGCTGAGTCAAGCCCCCGGTGGGTGCCGGCGGGAGACAGCCCCGCAGGGCGCTGCTGAGAGAAGCCAGGTGTGTGTGTGCAAG